GGATGGGGATGACAATGACGATGAAGATGGGAATGAGGATGGGGTGACAATGAGGATGGGGATACAATAAGGGCGAGGATGGGAACGAGGATGGGGGTGACAATGAGGATAACAGATTGCGGGATGAGGAGCAAGGGGATGAGGATGGTTATGACAATGAGGATGGGGATGAGGATGGACGGCAGCTGCGGCGCACAGCTAACCGCTCCTAAGTGACAGCAGCTCCCCTCCGCGGTATCATAACGGCCTGCATTTTAAGGTCATTGCAACTGCGATTCATAGAAAGTGACTAGCGCGCTCCGTCAGGTTCCGGAGACGCCGCTTGTCAGCTGTATCTGCATTCACGTTTTTTCAGAACAAAAAATTGATTAGGTTCATTGCGTAATGATTCGATTCAGTTGCGCCGCTCGGGGAGGCTTGAAAATCTGAACATGGATTTTTGATATCTCGACTATATATCCCGTTGGGTGACGTTCGTGGTGGCCGCTGCGCGTGTGCGTGTGTGCGTGCGTAAAAAGCGTTTAAAAAGAAACGCTCGTACACTGCGGTGGGGCCCATGGGATGAACTCGGCTCGCTGCGACGCTGACACGCCTCACGCACACGTGCTCATCCTACTAATGTATCGTCTGTCCTGTTATCGCTCAATCCCGTTAAGTCCTTATTACGTATATTAGCAAAGCACAGCAAAAGGCTGGCTCAATTGGCGCTGCGGTAGGTAAAACTGCTGAACAATATATATTTGAAAATGACTCGCACTGTGACGTCACGGGCGTGACGTGTTCACGCGCAAACGGACCTTAACCGTGTAAATTGCGATATCGAGCGGTATGTCCATCCGTCAAGAGAAGGCGGGTTTCATGAGGCTATACGATTATTATTCGGAGAGCTGAAGCAGTTTATATTTTCTTAGTTGGGCGGCAGTGAGGACAAAACCCGAAATAAGTTGACTTATTCTAACTTGTTTAGTCATTTCTGTCATTCTCGGGCTTGCACACACCTCTTCTCGCACCACACCAAACACAAACAACCTGCACCACGAACGCGCACGTTTCTTACCTGATATCTATCTTTCTCGCTCGTATCCCCCTCTTCTTCTCTTCTCTCTCTCTCTTCCTCTCGCTCTCTCTCGCGCTTTCTCTCTCTCTCTCTCTCTCTCTCTCTCTTCTCTCTCTCTCTCGCTCTCTCCTCTGTTCGCGCTCTATCTATTCTCTCGCTCTCTCTTTCTCTGTCTCTTTCGCTTCTCTCTCTTTCTCTATCTCTCTACTCTTCGCTCCTCCTCGCTCTCTCTCTTTCTCCTCTCTCTCTTTCTTTTATCTCTATCTCTCTCTCTCTTCTCTCTCTCTCTCTCTCTTCCCCATCACCTCTCTCTCTCTCTCTCCGCTCTCTTTTCTTCTCTCGTCTCCTCTTTCTCTTCTACTTCTCTCTCTCTTCTCTCTCTCTCTTCCTAATCTCTATCTCTCTCTCTTGCCCTCTCTCTCTTCTTCTCCCTGCCACTCTCTCTCTTCTCTCGCTCTTACTCTCTCTCTCTATCTCCTCTCTCTCTCTCTCTCTCTCTCTATCTCTATCTCTCTCTCGTCTTCATGCTCTCTCTCTCTCTCTCTTCTCTCTCTCTCTTTTCTCTCTCTCTCTCTCTCTTCTCTCTCTCTCTCTTCTCTCTCTCTCTCTCTTTCTCTCATCTCCTCTCTTTCTCTCTGGACTCTCTCTTTCTCTCGCGCTCTCTCTTAGATCTCTCTACGCCGCGCTCGCTCTTTCTCTTTTAATCTTTCTCTCTCTCGCTGAACTTCTTCACTTTCTCGCTGCTCTCCGCCTCGACGCGTTATTTCATTTCTGCGTATTTGAATTTTCACTGAACATTATACGATTTCGTTGCTGCAGATGAATGCCGAACGAAGTGATGTCTGAGAACCAGGGCATTTTAGTAATGCGGAATCTCATTGCCTTTCAATTCATCTGATCGTATAAGAAACAGTTGCAGCCTGTGTGTGATTCTTCTTTGCCGTACGCCTGTGCGTTCAGTCGTTCGTTTTTTTCTTGCGTGCTTCGTTGTGTATTTTCTCTCGTCGCCGTGCGATCGTTCGTGTATTTTGTCCGCCGTAGCCTGCGATGCATTCGTTCGTGATTTTCTGTGCATTCGTTCGTAGGATCCGCCTATGTGCGCCATTTGTTCGGTATTTGTGCCGCCGGTATGCCTGGTGCGTGCATTCGTTCGTGGATTTGTCCGCCGTACGCCGTCGGTGGTCGTGCATATCTTTCGAGTATATTGTCGCGGCCCCGACGCCTGCTGGCGTGCAGTTCGTCGTGTATTTGTCCGCCCTACGGCCTGTGGGGCATTCTTCGTGTATTTGTCCGCCGGTCGTACGCCTGTGCGTGCATCGTGTCGGTTACTGTGCCGCCGTACGCCTTGCTGCGTGCATTCGTTCGTGTATTTTGTCCGCGCCGTACGCCTCGGCGCCGCATATCGTTGCTGGATTTGTCGCCCCGTACGCCTGGCTGTGCAATTGTTCCGCTGTCATTGTCCGCACCGTACGCCTCTGCGTGCATTCGTTCGTGTATTTGTCCGCCCGTTAGCCTGTTTTTTTCGTGAGTTGCCGCCCGTACGCTGTGCGCCGCATTCGTGTGTATTTGTTCCGCCCGCTACGCCTGTGCGCGCATTCGTTCGTGTTATTTGTCGCCGTATCGCCTTGCGTGCATTTCGTTCGTGTATTTTTGTCGCCCCGTACGCTAGGCTTTTTTTGTATTTGTCCCGCCGTACGCTTTTTTCGTATTTGTCCGCCGTACGCCTGGGTGCGTGCGTCGCTTCGTGTATTTGTCGCCCGAGCCTGGTGCGCGACATTCGTCTTCGTTGTATTGTCCGCCCTATGTCTGTTCGGTCGCGCAGTTCGTTCGTTATTTGTCCCCGTATTGCCTGTTGCGTGCATTTTCGTTGTGTGTATTGTCCGCCCGTACGCCTGTGCGTGATTCGTCGTTTATTTGTCCGCCGGTTATCCCTGTGCGTTGCATTTCGTTTCGTGTATTTAGTCCTGCCGATATCGCCTGTGCGTGCATTTTCGTTTCGTTGGATGTGTCCTCCCGTTTACTGCCTGTGCGTGCATTCGTTCTGTGTTATTTGGTTCCGGGCCCGTACGGCCTGTGCGGTGCGCCATCGTCGGATTTGTCCGCCCGTTACGCCTTGTGCGCGCTTCGTTCGTGATTAGTCCGCCGTACGCGCTGTGCGATGCATTCGTTACGTTATTTTGTACCGCCCGTACGCCTGTGCGTGCATTCGTTCGTGTATTTGTCCGCCCGTACGCCTGTGCGCCCGCATTCGTTCGTGTATGTCCGCCCGTACGCCTGTGCGTGCATTCGCTTCGTGTATTTGTCCGCCGTACGGCCTTTTGCGTGCATTCGTTCGTGTATTTGTCCGCCGTACGCCTGTGCGTGCATTCGTTCGTTGCTATTTGTCCGCCCGTACCCCTGTGCGCTGCATTCGTTATTTTCATTACATTGGTATTTGTCCTTACAGTATTATGAAGCCGTAAACAGGTAGTGTAAGATGTTTTACCGCACGTGCATTTTTTATCGCTGTAGACGGATCAATCCAGTTTCAACGAACAACGAAGACTGGCAGTGCTGAATAATATATATTATAAATTATATATATATATTATATATATATATATATATAATATATAATCAGTAGGCTTCTTGCTCCGGTGTTGCTTAACTGAAATGCGCTGCTGCATGCAGCTATTTCTTCGTAAGTGATAGCCTCGGGCAGTTTTGTACCTGACGGTTATTGCTCGTAGTTTAGTGATAGGTCACCTTCGTGACGTCTAAGTCACCTTCGTGACGTCTAAGTCACCTTCGTGGTCTCTAGTACACCTTCGTGGTCTCTAGTCACCTTCGTAGTCTCTAGTCACCTTCGTGGTCTCTAAGTTCACCTCAGTGCGTCTCTAAGTCACCTTCGTAAGTTCTCGACAGTTCACCTTCGTGCGTCTCTAAAGTCACCTTCGTGCGTCTCCTTAAGTCACCTTCGATCAGTCTTAAGTTCACCTTACGTGGCTCTCTAAGTCACCTTACGGCGTCTCTAAGTCACCTATCGTGGTCTCTAATCACCTTCGCTGCGCGTAAGTCACCTTCGGCGTCTCTAAGTCACCTTCGTTCGGTCTCTAATCACCATTCGTGGTCTCTAAGCTCACTTCCTTGGTTCTAACAGCACCTTCGTAGGTCTGCTAAGTCACATTTCGTGGTCCTCTAAGTCACCTTCGTGGTCTCTAAGTCACCTTCGTGGTCTCTAAGTCACCTTCGTGGTCTCTAAGTCACCTTCGTGGTCTCTAAGTCACCTTCGTGGTCTCTAAGTCACCTTCGTGACGTCTCAACGATTATATTATAATCCGCAGCCCGCTCACTTTGCGCGAGAATCAATTAGCAGCTTCATCTTCATCAAGCGATTGTTTTACTAACTAATAGCGATAATCCTGTTTGATTGATGTGCTTTTTACACAGCTCTGTGCGATGTTTGCTGTTTCTATGGGTATTGCGACAATGATAAAACAGTTTGTTTTACAAGCACGATTGTCGGTTAAACAGATTTAGTGTTTCCGATGATCAGGAGTATAATATATATATGTATGTGTGTGTGTGGGGGGGGGTACGCGCTCGCGCGCGTGCGTGCGTGCGTGCGTGCGTGCGTGCGTGCGTGCGTGCGTGCGTGCGTGCGCGCGCGTGTGCGTGCGTGTGGTACAAAGCGGGCACTATACCTTAAGGCAGCACCGTAAGTAACAACCAACTTATTGCGCCGATTTCGCTCAGAAATGGTAACATTTTACAGGTTTTTGTACTTTGTCTGTACGGTGTGATTGCTGCTGCGTACGTCTCACATATCTTGCCAGCATAGGTTTCCTATCGCATTCGCTACATAGAAACGTGCAATAACCACGCTGGATGCACTGCGCCGACTGGAACTGACGGCAGGGAATTCTATCCACCTTGTGTCGACTAACCTGTTTATGCGCTTCAGGTGAAACTGACACTGCAAAGATTCGATGGAAAACAACGAAGCCCACACGTGGCACGCAAGGAGCCAATCAATGCCGGTCTCGTGAAGCTGGTTGCCGGGCAACGGCTGCAGGAAGTGACGTCGGCGCTGCAGGAAGTGCCCAACCACATTGTGCTCTACCTGACGCTGGAGGGCGTGTCGGAAAATGCTCAGGGCAAGGTACGTACGTACGTGCGCGTGATTCGCGATGACATCGATTGCTGGCCGTGTGTTTCTGTGCGTCTTCGTCACAAGCTCGGTCATCATAGCCGTGCTTATCGATGGCTTATTGATGCTCAAGGGGTCGTTGTCGTAACAGGTACTACAGATATGTACCCGAGGTACAAATATGTATACACAAAGTGTACCAGACTTGTACTACAGAAGTGAACCCTAACCCTAACCCTAACTCTAACCCTAACCCTAACCCTAACCCTAACCCTAACCCTAACCCTAACTCTAACCCTAACCCTAACCCTAACTCTAACCCTAATCCTAACCATAAACATACCTCATATAAAAATATAAACATAATACTAAACAACCTAAAACTACCTCGGGTACATATCTGTAGTACCTGTTACGACAACGACCCTTTGCGTTGGCGCGATCGATTCAGCACCAGCTCGCCTTAGGCCGTCCAGTCAGCAGCAGCTCGCCTTAAGGCGTCCAGCCAGCAGCAGCCAGCAGCGAGCCAGCTGTTATACACATGTATACATGTTACACGCTCGCGGAGGTATGCACTCTTTTTGAGTGCCCTCTGTCTAGTTATGTCGAGTGATGATAGCACGCGTTTTTGAAATTAAGCTAATAGGGAGGGTCGCTTCGGGGCAGAGATACGGGGCGAATGACGCGCATGCGCGAGTAAACGCCGATGATGTCATCGGTGAAGCCACGTTCATCCGTGCTTAGATTAGTGCGAATTCGATTACGGCAATAGTGTACTTCAAATTCAATAAATAGCGGATTTATGCTGAATCTACGGATTTATTTGTGTTGGTGTTTCTGCCGATTGTATACGTTAAAACGTTAAGAAGTTATGGCGTATTCTACTCTACTCCTATGTACCGAATACTTATTGGTGCTGCCTATGGAGTTATAAACCTGTGAAGTAATAGGGTGAATGGGTCATTAGCCTGCATAAATGATATTAACATAGAGTAATTATGACCCAAGGTAGCGTTAACTTTTATGTTGGCCGGTCCTGTTGTATAAGGAGTTAGGCGGTAGTATGTTTAATGTGTGCTAGCCTGCGGTAAGGTGTTTCGCAGTGTTAACGTTGATACGTGGTTGTCCTCATAATAGAATGTGTAGCACTGCGTGTTATACTGGACACGGAGTTGTCTTTGTGGAATGTGTAGAGTAACACAGCGTTAACACGGTAGCCTGTTGCAGTGTGTTACGCATGATACGTGCAGTGGTGACTTTGTCGCGTGGCCGCCCTAATACATATCGTGTAGTACTTCGATGCGTGGTGGCCTGTTATGAGGTGTTGCACAATGTGAACTTTGCCGTTAGGCTAGCCTTGCTGTCTGTAGCTCCTCATCAGTATGTTGGCGCTACTACTAACAGCACGAGTGTTTAGCGTTGATGTCGATTTACTCGCGTGGCAGGTCTGACACCGTTAGCAAACTAGCGTTTATGATGATTACACGGCTTAAAAACACGTACTTACTTAAGCATTTTCACAAGCAGCTTTGAATTAAGTCCGATCTAATGAGGTTGCGCGCTGTAAAAATGCGGCCAGTTTTTTTGCTGGCCAGTTATTTTGCACGCGCGATGATGTAACATGAACGTGACAGAGACGAATATGAAAATTAACGTGTTCAGGAGAAGAAACCCGTGAAAGGTGAAGCATGAAGAATGTAGAGAGAAGTGGGCGGCATCTTTAGCACTGTGCCTCTATCTACGGAGACATTCTCTAGGGTGGACGCAGGTCCCTGCATAGAGAGTCAGTTACTCCATCCAGAGAATGAAGAAAATGTATGAGAAAAAGCAGCGCTCGATTGCGCGAAGAAACTAACACATAAACAAGTCACATGTAACGCAGTAACTGTTGTATGATACGCCAGGCCCCGCTTCGCAGTCCATCTATCATGTCTCTCTATCTCTCATGTCATTTCTCTCTATTTGTCTAGGCCGTGGTGATTTCCAGGCGAGATGCATTCTAATCAGGAGTAGATAATAGGGAATTCCCTATTATCTACTCCTGATTCTAATGCATGTCAGTCGCAGCGAGACGATGGACGAATGGATGACACAGCCTGTCATGCACATCATATTTACCGTACCATTAGACAGAAATCGCGTCCGCCGAATTCATGAATTCGGGGTAAAAGAGATCATATGGGTCAACGATGAATAACCGTACTGCGCGACCTCATATAGCGCGACAGCGAACGAACACTCGAGCCAGAGAAACAAAAATACAGCGACACTCGCTGTCAACGGCGAGCGAGATTAAGAAACCCGATTGCTGGTCGACGGTGACGACTCCAGCGGCGACGACCTTTTTCCCGCGTGATCGGTGGGGGGAGCACGTGCGATTGACAATTCGGTGGAGTATGAGGTTTAGAGGAAACGTGGGCATGACAGCGGCGATGGCGTTGCGTATGATAATGAAGACGTGGCTGAGAATCGGGATGCGGGGAGACACGGGCGACGGAGATTATAGGCTGCGGATGGGAGTGAAGATGAGGATAGGGATTGCAAAGGGGGATGAAGATGAAAATTGCGGTGAAAATGGGGATGCGGACTGGGATGGATATGCATGGGGATACGCAAGTGGATAAAAAATTGTAATGAGGATGAGGATGCGGACTTGGATGAAGATGAGGATACGAAGACCCGGGGATATAAAATTGTGATGAGGGTGAGGATGGAGATGTGGACTTGGGTGAAGATGAGGATGTAGACTGGGATAAAGATTGTGATGAGGATGAGGATAAGGATAGGGATAAAAATGCAGATAACGATGAGGATGAGGATAGGGATAAAAATGGAGATGAAGATGAAGATGTGGATGACGATAAAGATAGGCGTGACGAGCGAGGCTGACAATGCAGGAATGAATAGGATGCACGATGGAATGATAATGGGGATGATAATGACGAATGAAGATGGGAATGAGGATGGGGTGCATGAGGATGAGGATGGAGAATGAGCGATGGGGCGTGACAATGAGGATGCAGAGGATGGGTGACAATGAGGATGACGAGGGTCGGGGACAATGAGGATAAGATAGGGATGACAATGGGAATGAGGATGGGAGATGACAAATGAGGATGAGGATGGAATGAGGATGGGCGGTGACACAATGAGGATGAAAGCATGGGTGTGACAATTGGAGGATGAGGATCGGGGTGCACAATGATGGATAGAGGATGGGGGTTGACAATGAGGATTGAGATAGTGATGACAATGGAATGAGGAGGGGGATGACAATGACGATGAAGCATGCAGAATGCAGGATGGGGTGACAATGCAGGATTGGGGGATACAATAATGGTGAGATCGGGAACTGAGGATGGATGACAATGCAGGATAACAGATTGCGGGATGAGGAGCAAGGGGATGAGGAGGTTATGACAATGAGGATGGGGGGGATGGACGGCACTTGCGGCGCACAGCCTAACCGCTCCTAAGGACAGCAGCTCCTCTCCGCGGTATCATAACGGCCTGCATTTTAAGGTCATTGCAACTGCGATTCATAGAAAGCTGACTAGCGCGCTCCGTCAGGTTCCGGAGACGGGCTTGTCAGCATGTATTGCCATCACGTTTTTTCAGAACAAAAAATTGATTAGTCATTAGCGTTAATGATTCGATCAAGTTGCCGCCGCTCAGGCGAGGCTTGAAATCTTAACATGGATTTGATTGATCTCGCATATATTATCCCGTGGCGTAACGTGTGGTGCGCGCGCGTGTGCGTGTGTGCGTAGCGTAAAAAGCGTTCAAAAGAAACGCCGTACACTGGCGTTTGCCCATGGAGATGAACTCGGCCCGCTCTGCGACCGGCCTGACACGCCCCACACGCACATTTGTCTTGCTCATCCTACTAATGTATCGTGCTGTTATCCGCTCAACTCCCGTGTAGTCCTTTTACGTTATTAGCAAAGCAAGCGAAAGGTGGCTCAAGTTGCGCTGCGGAGTAAAAATGTGAAAAAATATTTGAAAATGACTCGCACTGTGACGTCACCGGGTTGCCTGGGACGGTGTTCACGCGCAAACGGACCTTAACGTGTTAAATTGCGATATCGATTTTGTTATTGTCATCCGTCAACGAGAAGGCGGGTTTCATGAGGCTATACGATTAATTATTCGGAGGCTGTAGCAGTTTATATTTTCTTAGTTGGGCGGCAGTGAGGACAAAACCCGAAATAAGTTGACTTATTCTAACTTGTTTAGTCATTTCTGTCATTCTCGGGCTTGCACACACCTCTTCTCGCACCACACCAAACACAAACAACCTGCACCACGAACGCGCACGTTTCTTACCTGATATCTATCTTTCTCGCTCGTATCCCCCTCTTCTTCTCTTCTCTCTCTCTCTTCCTCTCGCTCTCTCTCGCGCTTTCTCTCTCTCTCTCTCTCTCTCTCTCTCTTCTCTCTCTCTCTCGCTCTCTCCTCTGTTCGCGCTCTATCTATTCTCTCGCTCTCTCTTTCTCTGTCTCTTTCGCTTCTCTCTCTTTCTCTATCTCTCTACTCTTCGCTCCTCCTCGCTCTCTCTCTTTCTCCTCTCTCTCTTTCTTTTATCTCTATCTCTCTCTCTCTTCTCTCTCTCTCTCTCTCTTCCCCATCACCTCTCTCTCTCTCTCTCCGCTCTCTTTTCTTCTCTCGTCTCCTCTTTCTCTTCTACTTCTCTCTCTCTTCTCTCTCTCTCTTCCTAATCTCTATCTCTCTCTCTTGCCCTCTCTCTCTTCTTCTCCCTGCCACTCTCTCTCTTCTCTCGCTCTTACTCTCTCTCTCTATCTCCTCTCTCTCTCTCTCTCTCTCTCTATCTCTATCTCTCTCTCGTCTTCATGCTCTCTCTCTCTCTCTCTTCTCTCTCTCTCTTTTCTCTCTCTCTCTCTCTCTTCTCTCTCTCTCTCTTCTCTCTCTCTCTCTCTTTCTCTCATCTCCTCTCTTTCTCTCTGGACTCTCTCTTTCTCTCGCGCTCTCTCTTAGATCTCTCTACGCCGCGC